TTAACGGCTTCATCGCCATTCTGTTTATACCCGAAAACCAAATCAATCCATTCATGGAGGTGGGAAGACACGTAATCGCATTCCAAAGCTTGACGGTGAAGCCTGTAAATCAGCTAGTTCTCCAGTCACAAATAGATACGAAAACTCTTACTTACTGAATAGTTGACTTTTTGAGAAAACGTAATCGTGACAAGAGCGTTGAAGCAAACATGAGACCTACCGAACGAATTCCCTTGCATCGCCATGGGCCCAAGGAGGAAGAACCACATCATCCAACACAACTCCGTTCTGTTTGACACCAAAATCAAACTTATTCTTGTTCTGAAACATGGCGCAGTTATTGAAGGAACTGCGCGGGTATAAGTTCGGCAAGCCAGACGCACAAGTAACCCATCTATGCGCATTAACTTGAAAAATCAGCCGACTAGGCACGTCCACGGCACTACAGATCCCGAAATGTTTTTGCCAGAGGCGAGCCATGGTGTGAAAATAGCCCACTGATACTGTGATGACCAACTTGGTGAACAGGGAGACGGTAAAGAGGATCGTAATTCGCCGCACCGCCACGCGCGGCGATGGGCGCGGCGTTTTCATAACTCGTTTTAACCTGTCGAATGAAGCACCGGACTTCATGTAGACCCCGTCATCGTAGACACTCATTACTGTTTTCGGTCCTTAATTGCATGTTGTCGCCATCTACTGCCTGAAACCATCGTCCTTTGCGGGCGGGACGTCGCACGCGACGCCCAGCCGGCGAAGTACGATCCTCTTGTCACACACCCGTGTATGAAAACATCAATAAACGACTTTATGAGATCCTCATCTAAGCTCAGTTCGTTTAAAGCGCAGCTCCACTTCTGTCTATGAGTGTTGCCTGACAAACAAAAAAAAACTCACCAGCAACAATTCTGGTAACACAAAAAATTCTGGTATCAGCTCTTTCACATCAGCCATGTTGTTGCGGCTTGCGCTGATCCAAGCATCACCGATACTATGGAACATTCTATCCGCGAGATCAAAGTGGCCACCCTTTAAGAAGAAAAATCCACATTCTATGTGATCGAAAAGGAAAACCATTCAAGCGTCTACGAAACTTACCCCTCACCGAAGAAATCAGATCTCACCTGAAGACTGAGGAATTGTTGAGTGAACGGTTCTAGCCGGACTAGGTATGAAACAACAATCATGGCAGAAGAGTAATGAGTACCGTACATGTACGGAGGCGTTTCTCCAGTAGGATCGTCCCATTCTCGATACCTGCGACATCAGCAAACCTTAGCATGACAAAGGAGATAGGAAGGAATGGGCTACCTCTTCAAAAATTGCTCGAGCCTCTGTGGATGTTGCGCACCCATCGGTTTTGACAAATCACGGAACGTCTTCGGATTTGTGAAGTCCAAATTCGACGATGTGTAGTCTGCCAGTACCCATGGCAATATTGGATACTGCGACAAATCGTTGTAGGACCTGAGTTTACCATGTAAAAGATCTCATATAAAACTGGGCGTTATTTCATTTGGATTTACCTTCCTGCCAAGGTGTTCAGATGTATGAGATACTGGAAGTTAGTGATTTGCCCATTCAACCATCTCTGTGTCACCGACTGTTGACCTTAAAACAGCAAACTTCAACTTCCAAAAGAGATCAAAGAAGACATCTTGAGTTGAAGTTGGATTCACTCCAGGTACGTTGTACACCATGATATCCCCATGCGGCCAAGATGGACTGGCAAAAAACAGCATCACAATATAATGGCGGTAATGAAGACAGGGTGGAACTGGGAGAGGGGAGGGGGCGGTGGTTAAGCCTCTTCCTTAAAAAAGGCTGAAACTCAGCAGAGCAAACGACTCGAGTCTCCACGGTCTAGCCTCGCAAAGGGTCATAGCTACCTCCCGAACGGCTTTAATTCACAGCATCAGTACCAGGGCACACATCTTTGTGATGATCACAACGGGGGGTCGTATTTGACCGCGAGGGAGGGGGGGGGTCGTATTTGGTCGTTGTTGGGAGAGGGACTGCCAAAGATCTATACAACTACTATTTCCGACAGTTGAAAATGACTGACGACCTCTCCCCACCCCTCCCCGCTCGACATAATAATTTTGGGGAAAAACCCAGAAATTTTTCGGGAAATTTCGGAAAAACTGGTAGGAGGTTAGGGAAAATCTGAGAAATTTTCCTGTTTCACATTGGCTATATATCCCCTCCCCCCGCTCGAAGTAAAAATTCTTGGCTGAAGAATTGGAAATCGGGGGAAAAGTGGTAGGAAGTTGGGAAAATCTAGGAAAGTGGTAGGTAGCATGGGGAGGAGGGTGGGGGGGGGGGTCGTACTTTGAGGATGGAATTAGGGGGGTGCGTAATTTTTCAGGAAATGGTCACAACGCGCTGATCAGTACACGAAGCACTGAGCTACACTCAAAACAAGAAGCTAACTGGAAAAAAACCGTCCCCGCGCTCAAGAAATTCGCGGGCTCCTCTTGTTCAAGTACTTTAACCCGCAGTCCCTATTACTGTCCCACTTTCGCTGATTCACAGTAAGTGACTATGGAGCTGCGCACAAGGGCAGTTCTGACGCCTCCCTAGTTCACCACCCGAAGAGTTTCAAAAGGCTATTTTCGGTGCCGAATTCGATATTTCGTGTTTTCGGTCCTTTTTCACTGTCAGATGACATAAGCATTGGATGACGCAAAAAAAACGATTTGTGAGGAGGCAGGATCAGGGTACAGCATCGTGATGTGTGAGGTGGTGGTGTAAGTACGACCTTCTCCTCCGAGAGAGGATGTCAGAACGACCTCCCTCCCACCTGAATGATGGTCTCGGTACGACCCCCCCCCTTTCCCCAACACCCACCTATCAATTTACCCCATTCCCCCTCCCCTCCAGTTTTTGCCAAAAAAAAAAAGATTTTTTTTCCAATTGAGGGGGGGGGGGGGGGGGTATATAGTGCACATGAAACAGAAAAAAGCACGCAACAGATTCACAACCCGGAAAAGCAAACACGAAAAATTTTCTAAATCAAAAGCATCTAATTACGCGTAATTTCTCTTCCAAGGCAGCTACGACCCCTCCATTTCTCCTATCCAAAGACAGGAACACTACGCGACCAAAACCCTGCAATACAGCAGAAAGTATCCACCCACAACACTATGTGTTTCACAGCAAAGATGCTACACCTACGTCAGCAATATGATTTACTGGGATACAACGAAACTGGTCGCGAGACGAAAAGAGTGTAATCAGTGAGCAGCATGTCAAGGGATTACCCCAAAAACATAATGATTTGTTCATGAATTTCTTAATTTCGTTGGAATAATAGCGGACTTTAGGCTCCTTGACTGAAACGACCACTATTCACATAACCCAATTCAAGCGCATCGCTGAGTTTTTATTTTTCAAGTAGACCATGGTAAGACCTGCAATAGCACACTAGAGGGGTATCGAAAAAACTAATCAGAAGCAGAACTCAGATGGTGTCGTGGTCGCACAACCGCACAAACATAAGTAGCCCAAAGAATGGAGAGATAGAGATCCGAATGAACAGCTAATTTCTCCCATGCTCGGCCTAAACTTTTTAGCGCGCAGATTCCCAGTGCTCATAAAGCATCCGTCAGCGTAACATGTCAGGTGCGATCGTTGGCACTTTGCCAATGCTTTAAATTGCGGCTTCTCAAATAATAGTAAAACGCAATTTCGCTTGATGGTAATTAACATTAGGAGGTTCTTACAAAATAAGAATAGTAAGATGATTGACGAGGGGCTCAAGAATCAAGAGCAGCTGCAGTATCCATCAGGAAGGATCGCGCGCATTCCGCAACAAACATGACAAAAAACAGCCAATCGGCTCCACTCGTTTGTTATAACAGCAATTTCTATGGTTTTGGCGCGGGGTTCGCGCGGATCGTAGAAATTTTATATGGACCAATTTATCGTAATTATGCCTTCTTGATTTTTTATTTTTTTGTTTTATTTACATTTACATTGTTGTTGTGCTTCATTTCTAGCCTGTGTCATCTTCATCTCCTTGTACATGGATTTTGAAGCATGAGCAACACCTCAAATTTTATTCGCATCAGGAAATTGCGTTTTACTTGTATTTGAAAGCGCAATTAAAGGACTTGGCAAAGTGCCAAGGAGCCGCACGCGACACGCGCGCTTACGACGGATGTTATGAAGGACGGGAATCTGCGCCGCAAAAAGGCATTGGGCGGAGCATGGACGAACTAGCGTGTTTCACGGTCCTGTATCTCCATTCCTGCGCATGTTTGAACGGGGAAACCGCTATGCTTCGACAGCTGGGGGCTGCTAGTCACATACACCCTCAATGTGTGTGAGCGTACTATGTGTCTTTAAGAGCACGTTTCGTGACAAGCCGTCGAAAATCTCCGCCATGAACGTAGGTAGCGGTTTGGAAAGCAGAACCGTATGTGCCTTACTGTATAGACACCGTGTAAACAAAACGCCCCAAATAAGCCCGGTACGAGGCGAAGAGATTCTCCCTTCGCCTAGTACCAGCAGGACCTTTTTGGGGGTTTTGTTTACCATGCTCTTAATGATAAACTCTGCGATTGCATATTGTAAATAGTGGCGTTCAGTATTATCCAAGATTCTTGGGAATCTTGGGCGAACGGCAGAGTAACGAGAAAGTAGGCAGCTACCAACAAGGGGGAGTCATTGAGGCCTGGGTGGAGTTACTTGGAACAGCCTAGCGCCCTAGCGCCCGCCGCTTACAGCGTTTGATGGGAAACTAGTACGAGTTTGTCCACGTTACAGCGGTCCACATTACTTTTCCCACACAGACTTTCGACTCCCATGAATGATCTCGG